TATATAATATAATTTTGTTTTAGTTTTGCATTTATTCCTGTAGAGAGTAATTGTTTATTTTTAACATGAAATAAACATAAAAATGACAGTCTAAATCACCATCAAGGCAGGGGACGTTTTGCAGTCAAATTATCATCATTTTGCTATTATTTTGACTACTCGTCCCTCATCAATTTGATGGCATTTTGACATCACTTCGATCAGGCTGTTTTCACTGAGTGACTCTTCATACAAAGTACAAACAATTTCCTACAAAACTTTGTTCAATTTATCTATTCCGGCTAAATGCTGGGTGGAAAAATAATTAATTAATTATAAATAAATGAATGACTCCCAAATCTTTTCAAAGGCACTTCAAACGTCTTCATATGAAATACAAATAATTGCATATTAGGAGTTATTTAAAAAAAAAAGTTTCTTTCCCGTCAAGTATACATTTCTTTTTAATTATTTCTTGCTGCTTTCAATGTAGATAGTTTTCAAGAATTAACGACGATAAAGTTGGTAATAAGTCGTAACTACTTCTAATTACATCACAAAGACAAGTTGGCCTTGTAATTTTTTTACTTTAATGTTCCCATATTATACATACATATCTTTACATACCCACTCATACGCACAAATATACAATATAAGATAAATACCATATTAATTGTTATGGTATGAACTATACAAAATTTAATACTATTCAGCTTCAGTGTATCTACATTTAAATATATATCACGAATAAAAATCGATGTAAATTGATAAGGTAATTGATGAACTCCCCAATAATTACGAGAAGTATGTTATACCTATAATAACTAGATCATTTTTAACATTAGCTAATTTCCTCCGTCACAATTTAGCCATAAGGACACTTTGTGGCCTAGTGACAGCCTGTTCATTATCTCCAGCGCTCTCTTAAAGTGATCTGTAAATTGCATTTTATTTATCATATTTTACTGAATGCCAACTGCAAAGAAGGAAAGGAAAACAACATAGATTTAACATTATAATACGTACCTTTTATTATTGGTTCCGCCAGTAATTTGTCATTCAACATTCCTTTCCAACCCATGTACCACGTTGCAACTTGATCATAATTAGGTGAATTATTGAGCTAAATCGCCAAGATATGTAGCCATTTTGGAAAAAAAATTTTATCAAGTAATCCTGCCATGATATGAACAGGGATCAAGTCCTTCCACTCATATACCCAATTCCATTGATCCAAGTGTTGTTGGTGTGGATTTATGACTAATTCGGATAAGGCTACTTGCAATTTTGGAATAATGTTCTCAACTAAAAATGATTCCATATCTCCCTTTGAGAACACTTCTGCCCAAGGTTGCAGCATTAATCTAGCAGATCTGTCTGATGGATGCCAACCTTCTAGCGCAGATCCAAATTTTCTACGTATTATTGGATAAATCAAAGTATCTAAGCGATTTCCTAAATAAAAGTAATAAACAATTATTATTACAATGCTATGTATGATCCAATATATGATGTAAAAAGTATATATATTTACGTAATAACGGCAACCAAGGATGAATCCACGTGTGAATAGGTACAGTATCGGTAAGAGGATTCCATTCTTCCACCTCCAATGTCAATTTTAATACTAATATATATAATAGATCTTCCAAGATCCAATTAGGTAATTGGATCCAATGTTCTACTAAATCAATTAAAACCTCGGGCTCCCTCGGGCTACACGTTGGTATTTTTCACATAATTTATTCTATCAAAATAAGCCTTTTTCAGGCATTTCATTTAAATAAGAGAATAAATTCTATATTTAGAGTATGGGTCTAAAAGCTTTAATTAGTTTACTTATTTTATTTTATTGGTGAGATAAGATTTTTAGTTTATATAAAATAATTCATTTACAATGAGTAGAATAATACTACACTCCACTGCCTAATTTGTTCATAAACAAAAGATATTAGAGGCTAGATTATATAAATTTGTTGATGCTTATTATAGGGATTACTTACTGGATGGCTCTAACTACTGCCAAACTACTGGCTAATTCATCCAGTCTCTTAGATGAATTTATTTTCTCGGCCCTCAGGGTAATTATTTTATTATGCAAAGATTTTCTACGGTGATCATTTAAAATCACGTCTCTTTGGCATCTGTCTAAAATTACATTTAACTTTTGCTGTAATTTTGGCAGCGAAAAGTTAAATGTACTTTTAGACAGATTAGTTTTTAGAAGAGTACTTTTAGACAAATTAGATTTGTTGATGACATCTTTCTTTTTTTCTTCCTTTATCTTCTTCTCGGGGCCGTATGCCCCAATGGCGCCTCTCCCTTTTCTGGGACGTGCCTCCACAGGCGCACTAATCCCTTGTAAATGCTTACCTAATCCCAAACCGGGTTTAAATCCCATCTGAAACAAGAATATCTCTTTTACTAATGTTCCATTTTCATCTTGCTACGATTTATAAGTATATTGTTTATGAAATACCTGCAGCAATAGTTTGGTGCCAATCCCCTGTGTACTTCCCAACTACTTTGCAGTTGGGAAGTACACACGCCCTGCAATCTTTTCACTTCCACTTTATTGCGCTTTTTACGCAGACTATCCAAGTTTAAGGGCGTACGTGATTCGGAATTTGGCCTCTGATCTGCTGAACTAAATAAAAGACATCAAATGTATACACATTTAACAAAAAATCCCGCTGTTCCATATTAAAATTCTATCTCATAATAAGGGACTTTCCTCTATTGACTACAAAATTGAATGTTTCAAGACGCGCCAAGAGCACATTGTAGATTAGGCTTATGGGTAGGAAGCATCTGTTCCAGCAAGAGACATAGGTTGGTAGAGTGTTATACAGATAATCATTTCATCCTTGTTTAATAATGATAAACAAAGGTAAAACAACTTGGAACTCAAAGTGTTAAAAGTTTACTTTAATAAATACAGAGGAAGAAAAGATTGATTTACATTAAAAAAATATTCTTGTTTAAACTTTACCTCGAACTACTGTGCTTTGCCTCCCTTTCTTCCTTGTCTTCTTCATCGTCCTCATCTTCCTTCTCCTTCAGTTTTCCTGCCTGTTGGCTACCACCAGCGACAAAATTAACCGGTGCCATATAATTTTTAGGATCCTTACTGAAGGTCTTGAAAGATGGTCTGGCAGATAGTTCATCCTCATTGCTGTCGTCTGCCCATATTCCTGTTTGTTAATAGAAAGAAGTTACATGTAAAATAATAAATAATCCCAAATAACTATATCTGTTTAAGAATAAAGTTTGAGAACATCAGCAAAATTTGTCAAGAGAATGCACCAAGAATATAAATACATTATCTACTAACAAAATATAATGACAGAAACCGAGCAGACTCGACCATTTATGGTCGTTTTAATTGAAATAATGTATTCCATTTAAATATTACAAAGACAGATTCTGCTTAATTTCTGTCAACAATCTACTTGTCCGATTATATTGACAGGCTTAACTGACAAAACACGATACAGATGCAGATGATGATTATATTAATATACGAGGGGGATTCAAATGAAAACCTTAAAAGTGCAATAATTTTTTTATTGTAACAATTAGGAACAACTTATGCATATCATTTTTCTACATAGTCTCCCTGACGTTCAATACAAGTTTTCCAACGCTTTGGAAGTGCATAGATACGTTGAAAGAAATCTTTTAGTCGTGTCTGCAGCCAGTCGTGCACCCCGGTTTTCACCTCTTCGTCACTTCGGAAAAGCTTACCTCCCATTGCTTCTTTGAGTGCACCGAACACATGAAAGTCACTAGGTGCGAGGTCTGCTGAATAAGGTGGATGAATATGACATTCAAATTTGATATCCTGGATAGTCTGAACTGTCAAACGGGCTGTATGCGGTCGGGCGTTGTCATGCTGTAACAATACTCCGGAAGTCAGAAATCCTCGTCGTTTACTCCTGATTGCAGGGCGAAGTTGATTTTTCAGCATATCTGAGTACGAATAACTGGTTACTTCGCCCTGCAATCAGGAGTAAACGACGAGGATTTCTGACTTCCGGAGTATTGTTACAGCATGACAACACCCGACCGCATACAGTCCGTTTGACAGTTCAGACTATCCAGGATATCAAATTTGAATGTCTTATTCATCCACCTTATTCAGCAGACCTCGCACCTAGTGACTTTCATGTGTTCGGTGCACTCAAAGAAGCAATGGGAGGTAAGCTTTTCCGAAGTGACGAAGAGGTGAAAACCGCGGTGCACGACTGGCTGCAGACACGACTAAAAGATCTCTTTCAACGTGGTATCTATGCACTTCCAAAGCGTTGGAAAACTTGTATTGAACGTCAGGGAGACTATGTAGAAAAATGATATGCATAAGTTGTTCCTAATTGTTACAATAAAAAAATTATTGCACTTTTAAGGTTTTCATTTGAATCCCCCTCGTATATCAGAGTACGTTCCGTTTCCACACATAATGCACATATCGCATCATTTATCCTTGTTATTCACCCGATGTTAAATAAAGATAAATGATGTATTATGTGTATCATGAGTGAAATAGAACGTACCTTCAGACTTGAAATGTTTCAGCAAATCTGCTGCCAATCTATTGTCATGCTGCAGGCGGTTTACTTACTAGGTACAAGTAGAAAACTATTACAAGTCACATGTTAAGTAAATAATGCAAGTATCTCAAATTATTCCCAGCTTTTTGTTCCCACAACTTTCCGCCGTAGGCTGCGTTCCGATACTCGCCACCAGTACTGAAAATCCATAGTTTACGTCGTGTACACTAAATATTTTCAATACTGCCAATGAACATTGATCGTGGCGTATGTCATACCTAGCATTTGTTGTTTCCTCGAGAGCTTGCGTCGAGGACGGGCCGTGTTGAATTCTTTGTCCAAATCATATTCAGGGATCTCGAAGCTCTCCACTTCGTTCTCAGACATCGTGCCGTATTATTTGTTAAGCAATGATTAATTGTAATAGCGCTTCGTACCAATATAACCTCAAAGGACCGCAGTTTACCAAAGCTTACGTACGCTCTCGGATACACTGAGGCGGACTAGAAAACGCGCCGACGTACCATTGATCGCACCAATTCACGAAACCGATGGACAACACTTTATTCGTAGTTAATTGTGCGTTATTTTTACCAATAATGTACACACCGCGTAGAACAAAAAAGCAAGAGCTTCAGGCGATCTTTGGCGTGACTCTGGTGTAGCAACCAAGATGGCTGCCGTCAATTTTCCCCCCCACTTCTCAGGCTTCGCCCCTCTCGCCCAAGAAAGTACTTTACGCTCCGCGTCCAGTTCTTCCTACATCCATATCTAAAACTGTATAAAGTAAAACGTCGGCGTGGCCGCTCTCATGTTTCTCTCTGGCCAAACCACGTCTAAGATATGCTTATTGTTAGATCAAGATCGTGTGCACGGTTTTCTTTCAAAATATAAGAAACAAAATTAAGCCAAACAATTTAAATTTAAATTGTTCAAAAACTACACGTTTCCACAATTCCGCATTTATAATTTTGACTATACCTAAGTGGTATTACTTACCTGTAAAACTGCATAAAAATCGAAGGTGGATAGTTCAGTAAAGTCAAGTCCTCAAGTTAATGCACACTGATAGAAATAGACATTACTGACGTACACCCATTTAAAGGACGACGTTAACTGAATTAACTTTAGTCAATTATTATACTGTTTTATTAAGCATTGTGGGAAAAAATGATTCAGGATTTTTTGGTCTAAGTTTTGATACGGTTGTATAAAAAATCAGGCTGTTTGGAACAGCGTTGTATAGTAATTAGTGAGCACTCTTTTAAAAAACATCCTGTAAGTCGCTTACTACTAATTTTTTCATTTGAAATCTTTCAGTCAATACTTATCTCGTATATAGAAGCGCACAACAAGTATTGCCGAGCTCGTTACTCTCGACTGAATCCCTCGAGCGTAATTTCTTATGTCGCGCAAATGATGACCGATTTTCAATTGGACTAATCGAGAAACTCGCTTGCTCGAAACAATCTTAAATTTATCCTTCAAAATATACATATATACTTAACGCAATTTTCCCTTTTAGATGCGCGAGTTTGAAATTGCCTCGACGAGCCTTTAAATAAGTTAAATAAACCTCCAAATTGTATTATGAATTTACTTTTTTTTTAAATGAAAAAAATACGCGGAATGCAATGTAAATGCACGATCGTTCTTATTACTCGCAATAACATTGGGCAGCTATTATTCGAGTCGAGAGTCTCGAAATCAGCGTGGATATTAAACAATTGCAGGGAGAATTGGGCAACCGTAACACTCACATTTTAATCTTTATTGTAATAGACTGCACTGAATTTTTTATCGCACACATTTTTATCCTCTTGCTTTTCCTCTTTTAACAAAAAGTGTCACGTACGAGAAGAGATGAGAATCTCTTCGGCAATGCCTACCATCCGTCCTCTCACCCTCCCCCTCATCCTCTCGCTCACTTTTACCTCACTTCATTCCCTTTTTACAGACACAATGAATCGCCTTGTAAGAGATGTTCCATTATTTCGCATGCTAGTCGAAGCATATAACAAAATTCGATATAGACTACAACAATAATAACGTTTTTACTACACACTCTTCTCACACGCGCACATCCAGCCACGCGGTCTCACGCACCCCTATCTATCGCGTATGTTGCTGTTCGAATACAGTTCGTAGATACGGCATTCCGTTATACGGCAGTTCTTACCACCGATATGATAAGCATCCGGCCACAGTCAATCACGTTGTATTCGCTTTTGTTCTCTCCCTTTCTCCGTCTTCTCCTCCCCCTTTCTTTTTCATATTCAATATTTTATACAGTATCTTACAATCTCCCTATCTTTTCCTTCCTCCCTCCTTCCCGCTCTCTCTCCCTCCCCCTCTCCGCTCCTTCTCTCATCTTTTTTTTTTCGCTCTTTTTCTCCTATGTACAATTTAATTTTTTGACATTCTCTCTCGTTTTTTTTTAAGATATTAGTAAATGATAGTTACCAAATGATAGTTACCAGCATTCTATCTACATCGTAAACGATTTAATAGTTGATTCTTCTCTCCTTAAACGCTACCGTGCTAATTAAATCTTTTATTTATCATTTATATCACATTTTTCACATTATTCATTTAGCTTGAGTGCTCAGTGCTATACTATCTTTAGTTTCCCTCCGTCTCTCAACCCGTTTGGTTATCCTCGTTAACGCAATTATTATTTACATGAGGCTATTACATCGCTTAAAGTAGTCAACCGACAGAGGTTTCAGTCGCGGCTAAATAGCTGATTGCGAAATGTCGCTCCTGCAAACATTTCCCACTCGATCACATTTCTTTTCCTTCTTTCTACCTGTCGCCGTTTCCAGTCCCGCTCAAAGCTTTGTATCTCTTGCATGTGTGTATGTGTGTGTGTGTATGTCACAGGGCATGCGGTGCAATCATTTGCATTCATTGCACGACTTAAGGTCTTGTCGAATAAAAGCATCCGCGTCGAAAGTAATTCAACAAAACTGTTTCTCTTTTTTGACTAGTACCTCGAACTATGTTTTCGATCGGTCTTCCATCTTTATTGCAAATTAAATTTTTCCACTGCGTCTTGAACACTAAAAAGCGCGTGACACGACATTGGACAATCAACTTATCGAACATATGAAAATGAATTTAATTAACTTTTTTTTCCATTGAGATGCCAGCAGATTAATTCAGGAGATTCGTGCACTTGGGGTCTAACGATCTAAGATTTGAAGAAAAAAAATATGTCTATAGAGTAGATTCGCTAACACAAAGGAATTATGTAATCTACAACATGAAAGAACTTTTCTATCAAGTTTCTGTCGGGTCAGCGAAATCTGTTCACTTTGAATGTTGAACAATATTGATTTGATCGAGACGTTGATGTGATTACGTTGGTGATCTTGTAGCCCGTTAAGGCACACATTTACATCTAAATTCGAATCACTAATTATACCATTCGCAATTAAATAATTTAAAGGATACAAAATATATTTGCACACGGAAATATGTGGGAAATAGCGGTACTAATATGCACAAACTGAGAGCTGGTATCCGAGAAAAGGAGAGATCGTCAACAATTGCGTGTGCTAAACGGCAAGAAAACAATGTTGATAAAATCATGCGTTGAATTACATTGGGAAAGTGTTTCATTGCACAAACGTCACGCAATGAGAATATCAATTATCACGTGATAATTTCATAATGATAAATATGCACCTTGAACGAGTTCGAGGTGCATATTGTGTTCATTGTTCCGTTTACATTGTTGACGATCCCATCGTTAGAATACCAAATAGAGGCGATTACAATACGATCTCACAAGAGCGAACGAACACAAAAGCTCGATCATTCGATAGACAAAAGGAACAGATCAAAATTACATTAAAAATAGAATTTCTCATTCCATAAACGGCTTGTCCTTTATCTCGTACTCCTTCACTTGCAACTTTTACTCTCCAGTGAACCTCGTACAAAACTGTGGCATGTGTAGGACGAAGGGGTCGGAATCGAATCCGTTGATTACGAGTCAACGGATATATATATACACACACAATAGATGTGTATGTGTGTGTGTGCGTGTGTGTATTTGTGTGTGTATATGAAATTACACGTCAACCTCGATTACGTCAAAATTTTTATTTCCAAAGATCAGAAAAAATACAATAAAAATTGCGAACAAATGTTTATTTTACCACATAGTTACTATTAACGTTGGGGCATTTAATTTAGTATTCACAAGCGACAATAAACATTTGTGCGTAGGTCTTATCGTATTTTGTCCTATTTTGTTTTTAATTTTCATGCAGTTTTGATCTGTATCTTTATTGGATGACCCTTGTGCATACGGCAAATAATGAAAAATAGTGCAATAGATATTTCGATAAATGCATGCGATTGTTCTGGCTTTCCAAACAATTGTGAGCATTATCGTTCCCTTCTATTCTAGCCGTTCTTGGTTATTATGCAAAAATCGCGTTATAGAAATAAAATGTTTGTACAAAAGCATGGAACCTTACAGTGCACATGTATTCACGAGACAGATCACAATGATGACGGCGACTTAGAATATACGCTCTTTAAATCCTTTCCATGTAATGAAATCTGGGCATGAAGAAACCAATATATTCGTAGCGCGTTACAATTATGTGTTCGTGAAAAGCGCGATAGCGATTTGTATAATACGCATGTAAACATATAATAAATACAGATGAATAAATACTTAATATGTATTATAAACCTATATACCACTGTTCTAAATAATTAATAACTTTCGTCTTTATCGTCAATTTAGCAAGATTTAATCCATCTTGCGATTAAATTGTGAAAATTAAACAGACGAACTTCCACATAGAGTTCAATATCCGTTCTCCACAGCCGTTTAACCATTTTAAGACACAAAACTCATCGTAATTTTTGATTTTTAAACTTCCGCTCGCTAAATAATTAAATCCAATCCTTCCTGTTGTAAAGCATGAATCTTTAATATCATTCTAAGTGTACCGTCATTATCATTTCCTGTGATACTTCTTCAGTTGTAATAAGAAGTCATGAAACTTGTCAATTTTTTTTATGGGTCTTACGAAACACAGTCAAGCAATTTAAAAGTTATATAAAAAGTAAAATTTCTTCTATTGCAAGTCAAAGCTTTCTCTCGTTTCCCATTTCATAGAAAAACATATTTTGGACTCACGAAATAATATAACACTTAAAAAAAAAGTTTCTGTTAAAGCGTAACGAAGAAATCCCCGAGTCGAGAATATGACAAAACAATGATTCAAAAATTAGACGAGACCAGAAACCAAAAGTTTTAAAAGTGTCAATTCGTCATCAGCTTCGTCAACTAGCGTGAAATCTTTTTCATTCTTGGACACTCAGGCTATTGTCATAAATTAATTGTTTAAACTTTACATGTAATTTACTTGCGATAAACTATCCTCCTCAATAAAATCAAGTATTGTACCATGAACAATATATATATCGCATATTGAGCAAGGACCTTTTCTCACACTTTTTCAGTCAATTTACTCCTCGGAAGAGCTCGTATTTTGAATGTCAATTCTCACGGAAAACAAATGACATTCCAGAATGCAATACCACTTGGATGTTAGAAGTAGCACAATAGATTTATCTCGCATAAGAATCCTTCATGGTATTCACTGTCTGTCGTAAAACAATTCCAGATTCAAATCGCTTATTCTCGCTAATTTGTCACTACCATATTTAAGCGATTCCAACAGACAACAAAAGACAGGTATATTTCAAATAAACGTAAATTTATTCGAAAAACACCGGCAAATCGTATTTTGATATTCCAACGCGATCAGATTAATTTCACCTTTCCTTGATTCTGTCAGACGGTCGAATTAGAGGTCGAAGAGGGTTGCGTGCCGGAAGCCGTCGCCGCTGTCGTCGAGGACGCCGTCGACGTTGACGGTGAGCTCACCACGACGACCGGTTTCACGAGAGTTGTGGTGTTAAGATATTGGGCATTTACAAGCGGCATTTGTCCCACAGACTTGAGAATTGGCGTAGTGATCATCTTGCCCGCCAGGCTTGACGGTGCCAAGATATGAGCGGTCACCTGGCTACCTTGAGAAACAACAGTCATCGGCGTAACAATCGGAGTCAGGCCAGAGAGAGGCGTATGCTGGCTGACGATATGAGCTATACTCTCTGTGGACGGAGAGCTCTGCATCATTGTCGAGGTTGGTTTGCCCGCGGAGGTTTGAAGCGATACTCCGTGACTTAAAGTTAATCCTGCAACAGCAAGATAATGAATATATGGACAGGATCAAGTTTAATACGTGGAGATACAAGTTAAATCCGTGTATCGAGTTTATTTTCTAGAATTTAATATTCACAAGAAATAGTATTTCATGCATTGCATTTGCGAAATAATCAATCCCGGCCAGTTAGTTTCAAATTGTTTAATGAGTATCTACAGAATTCGAAATGTTTCAATTTGTTACAAATAATATTCAAACTCTAAGAATAAGATTGTTAGTTTAAAGATTTATAAAAGCACAAAGATTTTAAGTAACTTTTATTCTACTCTTTTAATAGCACTTTTAATTCCAATGGTTAGTAATGCTTATAATTATTAAAGAATACTACATTAAAATAAAATAACTATCGCTTTATGTAAAACGTTTTGTTTCGAAGGAATAAGTTTTTTTTTTAAATAAATGAAACAAGTGCAACATTTTTTTCTTATGGATTTGAAAAGCGCATAAGTAGCACATTATTATACATTATTATATAATTCGTTAAATTTGGATCAAGTGGGGGGGGGGGGGGACTAGCTAGGTAGACATGCGTGTGATAGCACTCGTAGCAACGTGAAAGAACATTTCAAATATAATGAGATTAGTATACACGTTGCACTATTATATGCACCATTTGCCGGAAGTATGTTCAGTTCCGCGCCACCAGGAAGTCTCGTCAATTCCGAGCCGTTACCGCCGACGAGCGTTACACCACCGACCATCTTATGCGTGTTTTGCGCATCTCCCGTTCTTATTCTCGTCTGGGCATCTACAACGAAACGTTTTATTTTATTCGAGAAATCTAGAACTCGAACGTATTCTATCTGTGCTTCGTAGAAATTCTAAATTTAAAATTGTCCTGTGAGAATCCTTAAGGCATACATCCAATAAAAGTATCGTAGGTGTGGACTCGGTTGCGAGATCAGAGAGAGGTCGTCTATATTTCTAGTGTATATACATATTTAATCTGTCTATAAAAGGATATACTCACTCGACACATTCAGTGCAGGTGAGTGAGTGGCGAGGACCAACGATCGACCTTCGTTCCCCGAATGCACAAAGGTAACAGGTCTGACATCACTTGCAGACGACTGCACAGCCAGGGCCAATGGCCTATCGTTGTTGGACAGATTGGAGTGCACGAACGTCACCCGATTATCATTGGCGGTGGACGAGTGAACGACCAATGCCACGGGTCTCGGCTCACTCCCAGTATTCGATTGTACCGCAATTAGCGGCGGCCTGGACTGATCCGAGGAGTTCTGCACCGCCAACGTCAGCGGCCTGGATTCGTTGTTGCCGGCGGTGTGGGTGACTAAGAGCTGCCGCGTATCACCCGGTATTACCCTAAGTCCCGGCCCAATGTGCTGCAGAGCTGGCACAATGGTAGCAAGACCCTGACTCGTATTCAACATCTGGGCACTGATGGGCAGATGCAACTGATGCGGCTGCTGCACTATACTGGTGGTAGGCGATGTAGCGACCTTCTCCTGAAACAAAAACGCCATTATGTTTATTCTACTGCGGATCAATCTTTAACACGTTCAATTCTAATAAATCTATTAGAATTGAACGTTTTCATTTTTGCGTTTTAGCAACTTTACAATGCGCTATATGAATTTTCATACCTGCATTTCAGACCGAGAAAAGGACTGAATGAAAACAAAGAAATAAACTTGCTTCGATAAGCAATTCAGCGCAACGTATTGAAGAAAAAAAAGTTCGTTATGTTTTCTTGTGCTAATTGTAAGTATTCGTTCGCAGGATTGTTAGCAGAACAGAAAAATAAATATTCTTTAATTTTTCCTAGTTCTTTTTCTGGTCACTATTTGAAAAAATTCTCCGACTGAAGCCTAATAAAAACAAAAAAAATTCTTATTAATTAAAAATAAATTTGAAACTGTGGCGTGAGAAATTATCATTTAAAATAAAAAGTGAAAAGAAATATTTTTACACAATGTTCAATGCGTTTCAAATCCTAACATAATTTAAAAAAATTTTTTAACGAAACAATTAAGTGTCACACGTTTTCAAAGCCCCTTCCAGTCAACAAGCTGTAAGCGGCTCTGCAAACGCGTGGTAATTTGCTTTGGCACCGATTCACTGCAAAGTTACAATGTGTGCAATTTTGCTTTAGACGGTGCGAGAAAATGACTTCGTTGTTTTATTCAGTTCTGGGGGACGAGAGAACGTACCTGCGTTGGAGTAGAAATGCTGGATGCGGATACCGTTCCGGTAGTCGAACTTGCGGGTGGGCTCTCCCTCGAACCTCGCGCAAGATTCAGATCCTGCGTTTGGCAAACAACACCCGTGGTCGCGACTTGATTATGAATATTGGAAGTCGTGCTAGTGGACTGCAATGCTTGTGGGGAACTGGCCGTCGTCACGCTGTTTAGACTGCTCGTGCTGCTGTACCTCGTGCCACCCCGTGGTAGTCCAGTAATATCAACTTCCGCACTCTCTGAGATTCGTTAGAGATTTTTGTCAGATAAGATGCTGATAAAACAAATAAATTTTCTTCCACAAAAGAAAGAAAACAAAATTATTTTCACAATATAAAGGAACTCTTCTCAAACAAGAATAAATAAAAAAATCGAAAGTTGAAGTTTAAGAAAGAATGGAATAAAAAATATTATAGATAAAATTGTGGGAATTTTTTTTCTCAAAATAATATTTCCATAAAACAGATCTCGGGAGCAGATATGGGATTCCCCATATCACCTATCATTGCTAACATCTTCAGGGAATATTTCGACAACAAAAGCCTGACGAATGTTCTATTAAAACCCTCCACATGGTTTCGATATATAAACGACACGTTCGTCATCTGGAGTCATGGTAGGAAAACCCTACCTCATTTCCTCACTTTTATCAAATCTCACCCGAACATCCAGTTTACAATGAATATTAAACAAAATTACCAAGTTCCCTTTTGGGCTGTTAATTTTGAGAACTTCGAAGATTCAATGCTTCGGAGTTGACTTCGAACTTTCGAAATCTTCGAAGCTTCGAAAAATTTATTCGTGCGAGTGGCGAATTAATTCAAAGAACACTAAAAATATTATAAGTAAAAAGTACTTATTTATGTATGTTGAAAAATAGGTGATTACTTCTAAATTATCATTTTGATTTCTTTCGTAGGAATGAGGGTGACACTTTGAATTATCAAGTCTGTCGAAAACCGACACATACTGACCGATAACTTCTTCGCGCAAACTCCCATCATCATCCTCAAAAGAATTCTGTCATCAGTTCGTTGCTTTACAAAGCATTTACAGTTCTCTATGGTATTGATGAGGACTCGAAATAGAGTCGAAACATTCACTATTATACTATCGTTTAACAAGATGTAATCCTCGGATATATGTATTAAATTATTCCTGCACCAACAACCCCATAATTATTCTCATTATCCTCTTATATCTTTTATTATTTTACATTATCGAAAGTAGTGTTTTAATTTATAAATAAAATAAATAATCCCTCAAAGTTTGACTTGGTTAAATTTCTGAGCATTTCTTATTTTTTAATATCAACAGATGTATCTCACCGTTTTTGGCAATCACCGCATCTGTCCTAGAATTTTGCTCCAGCAAAAGGGAATTAAGGTCGATAGGTTCCCAAGTTGAACTGTGTTCTCTTTTCAATTTCACCAATTTCTGTTGAGCTGCGATCTTTTCTCTCGCAAGCCTCTCCATCTCATGTTCATAATCTCGTTCTTTTTTTCGCAATGTCTGCAGCACATGAGAACAAACATTTAGCCTTATTAAAATCATCTTCTTTCAAACATTAACATAACATAACATAACTTGTCTTATATAATGAATAATTTTTTCTCTCGTCCCTCATGTATACATTGCGGCATCGAAAGCTTGAAATAACATTTAAAACTATACCAATAAACATACTTAGATAAATAGAAAAAGATATTTCTATATCTATGAAAGAACACATATAAAAAATATTAATAAATTCTATATCTAACACACACGCACGTACACACACACACACACACACACACACACACACACACACATACGCGCGCATACACATATACATATATATGTATTTAACACAGCAGAGGTGTAAATCTGACTGTGCAACCTCCACGCAGTACACTCAACGGTAATGTCGGGTGGTAATATAACTTTCAAGCCTCATAATTCGAAAAGTAGGTACTTAATAACAAAATATTTTATTATAGTATTTAGGAAGTAAGCCTCAAGAATAAGTAATAAAAAATAGAGGGTATTTATTTAAGAAATTAAAGATGGCCCTTACATGACTTTCGAGCAACTATCCCATTTTTCTACTTATTTGTTTTCTTTCACATGGAATTAAAGTTTCTTGTTCCTGATCGTGCCGTCGGTCAGTATAATATTAGATCAATGATCTCTATTTCCAGCGCGAGATCATATAATATATGAGACACCGTTGGCGTTGATATCTCTGTCTTTTAGCATCTTCCTAGCAAACTACATAGTGCGTAACAGACAGCGTTGGATGATAAAGGTCCAGAGAGCAACGCGTTGCTATTACGTGCCGCGCGACGTAACACCGATGGCCGTGCGATCACGTGGAATCGATATAGGTAATGCCTTTCACGCGAAAATGTAACGCGCACGAAGATGATACGCGGAAAATGCAAGGACACCGGGAAACAATTAAAGGAACGACGTTTAACGAGGGAAAGATTTTTCACGCGAAGACATTATAAACGTAGAAATGCAATGCAAAGCACAGCCTCCGAGTATCTTTTTCCTCGCGCACTTTCGAGTTGGCTATTGTTGCTCGAGATTACAATTCGTCGCCCGGCCGGCCGTTCTTTAAAACAACATTATTCTCAACGATGAATTTCAGCAATTTCCGCATGGACCACAGACGAAATCTTTCAGGTATAAATTTAATTCGTGATGCGACAGACATTCGCATTAAATCGCCACGTGGAAATTTTGCGTGTGGTTGCGCGCAGCTATCAATTCATTCGACAATGAATATGTACGCGCTGTTACGTTTGGCGCAACTATTATTTTAGGGTGTCAAGATTTCTTACTTTATGTAATTAACGTTCTAAATCGCTATCTATCTTGGTCTATTTTTATTAATTTTTTTAACTTGCGACAAATCTGTTAAATTATTACAAATACGTTCTACACATATTTGATGCATTTTGCTGTGAGAGTAAAAACACAATGCACCCCATTCTAGACAATATTTTTTTATAAATAATCAACTGACGATGAAATGGGTAATTTGGACTAGCACATTCTCGCCTATAAACGAAGAATAAGTTTATTTTCATCTTAAACAATTGACTTCCATTACAACAATCATCATGACTATAGACTTCTTGGCAAAAAACTTAGTTTGTATGCACAAACTGTCGTGTCTGTTCTTTGTCGCAGTCTTTTATTGTATGTTTTTTTTATTTAATGCTTGCAATTTTTTTTGTTTCATTTATTTACTTGATGTTTATTAATCACCGTATTATTATAATTCTTTATTTTTATTTTTACCTTCATATAGTATAATGAAATCTTAATTATTGTATTATTTCTTCGCTAATAAGAAATGCAAAATTATACTGGAGAAAGCTTATTAAGAAGGTTGGTGACTTATAGCAATATAGTAAGAATCACATGCAATTTTTGCAAAACATTTTTGGCAGAATAATTGACTGTTTAAGTATTATGTAACCTGGCCACTTAGTTTTTGAAACATTTAATTTTGAAGTTCGGGTCTTATACAGGGTGTTTCCTCTAATTGTAAGTTGAGCACGTAGAAACTCTATGTTTCCTTTGATGATACGAAAAATGTCAAAGAACGAAAATTGTTTGATCCAAAGAAACTTGAATCGAACAATTTTCGTCCTTTGACATTTTTCGTAACATGAAAGAAAACGGAGATATTCTACGTGCACTACTTAGAGGAAACATCATGTATATGGGTGTTATGAGCGCTATGGATACAAATGTGATTACGAAAATGAAATAAAGAGATGTAACAGTAAGATTGTAGAAAAAAAAACTGTTCAAATTTTAGAATAATCTTTTGTGAATAACTTCAAAAAATGAAAATTTTTTTTATCACTTCGTTTAAAAGATACAGTACGAAATATAGATGAAAACACGCAATATGATAGGTGAGGGACGAGGTGGAAAGCGGCGATCGTCGCGTGTCGCTTACCGCTCTCCCTTTGCCTTGCTAAGAGCCTAAACATTTCCCTCTTACCGCTCTCCCCGCAAGTGACGCACCAACCTCCTTAAAGCCGAAAAGTTTACTACTTAATTATTCGAGTCAATTGTTAGAGAATAAAGAATAATATTCGCAATTCTTAGTATAGTTGATCGTATAGTTGGTCCTTCTCTCCCTTTAATTTACATGACTTTCAATCTTTTTCCATTCTTTCCCTAACAAATAACGTCTACAATATAATTACGAAAAGAATCAAGTTCAATGTATACTTAAAAATTCGTATCAAATCCAATAATCAAGTTCCACTTTCTAAGATTCGAATAATATTCATAGGAAATAATGCTTCATTTATTGTACTTACGAAGTAATAGTGTCTGGTTAGTTAGTTTCGTGTTTTAGAACGAGTATCTGCAGGATTTGAATTTACTTGTAATATACTTTATTTTATCGCTAGACGTAAGGTTCCATTAAACCTTTATCTTATAATGCGTATTATATAATCCTTCATATTTTATAAAAAGAAAAAGAAAGGATTTCCGAATCTTTTTTTCAAAATGCAACACACAGTAAAAAGACTTCCTCTTATCCAAATGGATTTCTCCACTATGAGCCATTACATTTTACGTAACAGACTGTGCAACTTGCCTGTATGTACTTGTTCGCTGCATGGAGAATAGAGAGATTCGAAGACTTCTTTTCGTCCTGCGACGGTAGCTGCTTCTTCAAAAGTTCAAAACACTCCTTCAGATGCGCCCTCCGATTCTTCTCCAGCTTGTTGTGCACTTCCCTGGTCCCGGAACGAATCACGCACGTTCTACAATGAAAACATATAAGTTATAAAATAAAATAAATTGGTATAAATGAAGAGACTATTTTCCTTTCCCCCTTTCAATCCTATATTTAAAAATTTATGGTGGCGGTGCTCTATGCAATGCGATCGTGTAAAGCCCGTGTCACGTTACGTATTGCAAATGCAGATCGGACTAAAATTATGGATCGCGGATCGGAAGTCCGGCAATCGGACGAGACAGCTTCGAAAAATTCCAATCCGCGATTCGCGATCGCAACCAGATCCGCGCAATACGCAGCGTGACGCGAGCTTAACGCTACGCATTATCGCCGCTCGACGCAATGTGCCGAGCGACGCGTCGTGCACGTGCCATTCACCCTGGACACGTGCACGGCGTAAATAGGTATAGCCGACTGTAACGGCGACGGTGTCGGCTTGTGCACAGAGACGAGCGGCAAGGAGAGAAAATGAAGCGAGAATGCGCGAAGCAACAGGCTGACGTATCGACTCGCGACGGAATGTGTCGGTGTCACCGCGCAAGCATACGTCCATCATAGACAGACATTATCGCGTCTATTTTAGACGGAATCAAACGTAAACGACACTGATAAGACTCAATGCAACAAACAAGTAGATTAACAAAGCCTTCCCCTAGCCTGATTCTTTCAGTTTGAATTTGCAAAACCAAATTAATTTACGGTAAAAAATTACAAACCACCTAAATATCACCATGAAAAATAATCTTTGTAAGGTAAACGTCCCAATAGCCAACCATGTCCCAGTTCCCAACCACTAAGGGGAATATTCCACCTAATTAAGAGATTTTTCGATAAAAATAAATAAATAACCACTTAATTGAGTTCTACGATTTATAATCTATGCATAGGTCAACGGTTAAAATAATCCTTGCGCTCTTTGTAGTAATTTTTTCGAGTTTCTTGAGAGTGCACGCGCTGCCCCGGGAAACAAAGCGCATCTGTAAGCCAGTTTGTTAAGAATTGACAAAGTTCAATTGTAACTATGTCGCCTTCATTTTATATATATATTGAACAAGTTATAGCTTTTTATATTAAGGAAGATGTAGAGAATGCAAATCTAGGGTCGAAATTTAGTTTGAATTGCCGATAAATTGTTAATTTGCATGGTCGGATACTCGGACGTTCCAACCGTATGGTGTACCAATAGTGAACCAAGTGGCTGGATACTGGTACAACCAGGCGATCGGGTAATGTCCCAATTGCCGGACGCAACGAACTGTCAGTGGCCATAACCTTGCCCTTACGGAAAAGCACCGAAATTAAATAAGATATTTTACGAAAAGTTACTATATGTTACCTGAAGTTACGAAAAGTTACATAGTCTTACTAATAAAGAAATAAGTACTGAATGAAATAAAAAAAGTTGTCTCTGCTTTCATCTGCGACTGGTTGGTAATAGGGACATCGAGTGGCCGGGTATCGGGACATAGCCAAAAACTGATGGTCGGGTACTGGGACATTTCCTTTTCTCGCATTTTCCGAAAAAATCAAATAAACTATTACCAATGGAACTAATTATTGGATGGTTTCCAGAAACTAGAGAATCCAAGCTTTCGTTTCGTCGTATCCGCTTATAAATAAGATTTGTTAATATATATAAAAATTCAATTTCAATTTTCCAAGTGTCTTAAATGGTCCGCTATTGGGACGTTTACCTTAATGTACCTCTAGAAAAATTGAGAGAGAACGCTTCACGTGAATAAAGTAAAAAAAAATTAAACGAACTTACCCAGATCGATGTTTCTTATTATCGTGGTTCGTTTCAACATCGACAACGAGGTTACTCGTATTTTGCTGGGATTGATTCGGATTGTGATTCTCCATATAATGATTATGTGTGTTAAGATGGTCGCTATGATGATGCTGCTGCTGCTGCTGATGATGTTGCTGCTGCTGTGGCTGGTGCTGCTGCTGTTGCTGCTGCTGTGGCTGCTGTTGCTGCTGCGGTTGTTGTGAATGGTGGTGATGAGGGTGGTGATGATGATGATGAGACACGGAATGCAGCGCAGTCAGCTGAACAGAGTTTGATCCAGTTGATGCCGGAGTGGTTCGTGTGCTCGAGACCACCGAGGTGCCTCGGGAAGCTATCGACAGACTCATTCTGCTGTTCTCCAACGGTTCTTCCTCTGCAACATCATTAGAATCGCTTTACTGTACCGTAAAAAAAATGACTGAAGAATTTAAGACCGTACTTTGAAGAAATAAATCTCAAAAAAATTCTTTTTATTCGTCTTGTAGAAAGCTCAGAAATTACTTCCATTACTTTGACATGTAATTCTTTTTAAGGCATAGGTTTAAACCGATTCGAGGAGACGAGTCTTTCAAAATAAAAGACACTGTATATACATGTACGCACATACGTATATATAAAGTACTAAAATTACTTTTTAAAAAAGGTAATAAAGCGTCAAACGTACGCACTTATCAAAAACAAACTGTTATACAAACTACTTTTATTTACGCTCAATAAAATGTTTGTAAAAACATTTCGATAAATCGAAATAAATTTTGTACAAAAATATTCTAGTAGATATACGTCCAATAAAAAATATAAAATAATTGATACATTGCAACAGGAGCATGTAACTGAGTTTGTATAAAGAATACTTAAGTAAATATAAAATAAGTTTATGTTTTATAATTTGGTAAAAACGTTTTTTTTTTTAAATGTTAAATTCATAAAATTACCCCAAAAATATGAAATACATAAAACAGAAATATGACACAAGATTATATAAACTATAATTATTACATTTAAACTTTATTACAATTAATATTCACTACTTATATAAATATACTTTTATATTCTCTTATGAAATCCCAGCGAGATATTTTATTAAAAATAACAGAAAAGAACAGTCAAACTTTAATTATAACTTTAATGATATCAGTCCGAATCATTGAAGGACACGCATCATTTGGGAAGTTCTCGGAGCGAGACGATGATACGGAAGCTAAAAGTTTATTACAGCTTTATCGTGTTATCCCGAAACTTTCATTCTAGATATAGACACACATTCACGGAGGCATTCGATTCCTGGCATTCCACAGATGCAGACGACAAAGATCCCGGCTCGCCATTCTATTCTGCGCTCTTGAATGGCCACGCTTTCGCCTAAGATTAGCAGATATTCTCTGGATAGAGTGGCGATGGCTTCGAGCAAGCCAATCATTTCGTCAATGATTTATTTTCTTGTATAACTCCGGAAATTATATTCGATCATTCACTTGGCAAGTTTACAGTTTAACAGATATTGCTTCATTTATACTTTTGTATAGAATAAATATTTAAAAAATAGAATTAATATGTGACTTATTATACGCGCAATAACAATAAAATATATGAAGTATTATATAATTTTGTGTCATGTAGAATTTCATTTACGGCACAATTAGTTTTAAAAATTGAATAACGGTATTCTCTAGGTGTTCAACTTAAACAATTTTTAATTACTATGACATAAATAACCCAATGATCCTCGCGGGCATTCAAAATATTAGTAAACAAAATCAATAGCATATTAAAAAAACAAAAAATAGTTAAAAATTGCCAAGTAAATCATTTGCAAAATATAAATTTTAAAAAATTTCTTTCTAAATTTTACATCAAATTTGCCTATTCAAATCTATAACGCACAATTAAAAATTATATGTATAAACTAAAAAAAAGAAGGTTAATTCTTTTATTTTATATAAGTACATATAAATCTTACTATTAAACTCGAAAACTCGACTTTTACGAAAATTTTGCTCGTAAGAAAAACAATTTATTCCACGCTTTCAGCTATATTCTTCAATCAACTTCTTCCCACTAATAAATCATTAAAAAATAATCAGTTTAACAATATTCCTGGAAATAACAAACACCGAGCTTTTATGTCGTTCAACGGTCAAGCGGATTCCGCGGGTAACGGAATGTCCACGTGTAGAATATTTATGTGCGAATATTTTACGCCGTTAGGAAAATCGCGCAAATCTTTAAACGACAATTTATTCCTCGCCTGTGCGAGAGAGGATAACGAATTCGAGAACGGCCGCAACGTCTCGCTACCGGACACGAAAAAAGCAACTTCCTCTCTCCTTCAGTTTCGCTCTATCCACAGTCAGCACGATAAATTAGCGCAGCACGTGTACGCACATGCAGCTAGCCCATTCATGTGCGAGTCGACTTGGCAGCGACCGCATCGTCGCATAGCTCGCGTCTCTTTCTAAATCCATGAAGACTAGAGACCAGGGGCCCCATTTTGTAACTGCTTAACGCATACGTTATGGTTATAACGCATGCGTTATAAGTCTTATAAAAAGTTAAGTAGTTACAGAATAGGACCCCAGGAGATTCAACTTATGCTTTCAAGTATGAAGACTAGAACCATAGTATAATCATAGTATAACTAGTAGGTCCACTCTCTATCGACCCCTTTGATCCTTGCAGCCCCGATCACGTGGTATTCCGCCATGTCTTCGGTGCAAA